TGCACCCTCCAGATAAGCCACTTGTGGCTCCATCCCGCACTCCGCTTCAGCTGTGCAGTGCCTGCCCACTCCCTTCCTCACCCAGGGGCCTTGATCTGCCCCCCTACTCCCTTTCTCTCCCGCCTTGCCCTTTCTTACAAAACAGCTTTATCAGCTAGACGCTGCTCTCCAAGCTGCCCAGCTGCATATTGGAATCGGATGGTATTAACCGATATTGCTTGCTAAAAATCGGCCATTGGTATCGGCCCAAAAAATCTCTATTGGTGCACCTCTACTAATTTAGAATTGATCAAGTTAACATGTAAAATTAGTTTAGCAAGAGAAAGATCTGAAAGCTACCTATGTTTTAGTTGTAACTTTCATTAATATCTTGTAGCTATTGGCAACAGTCTTTGTTTGTTTTTTGAAGCTCATGTGGAAAATGAAGAACAGTACACTCAAGCATTGGAGAAATTTGGGGGCAACTGTGTCTGCAGGGATGACCCGGATTTAGGAACAGCATTTTTAAAATTTTCTGTATTTACAAAGGAATTGACTGCTCTCTTCAAAAACTTGGTAAGAATTTACTTGAAATAAGAAAAATGTTACAAGAAGAATGGTGTCAAGAAAGCTCATGCCTATAGAGGTTGTGTTTGTATTTGGTTTTATTTTTAACTGCAATAGCTCTTCATCTTGAAAAATATATGTGTTTTAGAGCAGTGTTTCTCAACCCATGGTCGTGACCCAAAGTGGGTCACGAGCACATATGAAACGGTCACGAACAGACTTTAAAAATGGATCAGCAAACTTTAAAAATGGATTCTCCTTTAAAGGAGAAAACGTGGGAAACCGTGGCTTTTCCCTTGCAGGCTGTCAGATGTCCAGCCTGCAAGGGGCTGCTTGGGGCCCCTCCTGCCCTACACACCCACCCCCTGCCCCACATATTGTGGGGCTGGGTCCTGGGGGTGGGAGACAGCAGGTCGGGAGTGAGGGGGCACTGGGTCAGGATGGGCCCTTGATGTTTACAAATGGGTCCTGAGACAAAAGTTGAGAACCGCTGTTTTAGAGATCAGAAGTGTCTGCCAATCTCCTTTTTTTTCAAATGCCTAATTGAAATATGTTTCTTTAAAAACAACCAAACAAAGCAAAACTATAGAAAGTACAAACATCTTCAAGAAAATGCATGTAATGCCTACTAGGTGAACACAATTTCTTTTAAAATTTTGGAACTTAAAAATTTGACCCTTGTTTCTCTCTCCACATTGTTTTTACTTTCCTTTCATATCTTGCATTTGTATTATCTAAATGGATTGTAAGGACTCTGGATTGTTGGGGTTTTTTCTGTAAAAACGGAAATCCTAGCACCCTACAGATAATAGAAAATAATAGTAAGTTCTGTTTAGGTATACTTGACAGTTACTGAGGTAAATAGGACTTGAGAGCTCTCTAATACTCATGAATATCAATAGTCATGAAATATTCTGGATGCATCTGTATGTATAGCTTAACGCAGGAGTATCAGTCTGTAACCATCTATGTATAATATTACATACATAATATTACGTACCTACCTACGTACCTACCTACATATTTATAAATAAATAAATTTATTTATAATGGTATGCACATAACATGTTACATGATATAACAGTATGTATAGAGTAACATAGTAAGTTGAAAGGGCAGATTCTTTTTTCACTTTTCATTACTCAGAGAATGCAAAGGGAAACAGAGAATCATAGAAAGTTAGGGTTGGAAGGGCCTCAGGAGGTCATCTATTCCAACCCCCTATTCAAAGCAGGACCATCCCCAAGCAGATCATCCCAGCTAGAGCTTTGTCTAGCCGGGTCTTAACAACTTCCAAGAATGGAGCTTCCGCCACCTCTCTGGGTAGCCTGTTCCAGTGTTTTACTGTCCTCCTAGTGAGAAAATTCTTCCTTATATCTCACTTAAACTCCCCCTGCTGCAGCTTGAGACTGTTGCTCCTTGTTCTGTCATCTGACGCCACTGAGAATAATCAAGCTCGATCCTCTTTTGAACCCCCCTTCAGGTAGTTGAAGGCTGCTGTTAAATCCCCTCTCAGTCTTCTCTTCTCTAGACTAAATAAGCCCAGTTCCCTCAGCCTGTCTTCATAAGACATGTGCCCCAGCCCCCTCACCATTCTTGCTGCCCTCTGTTGGACTCTTTCCAATTTGTCTACATCTTTTCTGTAGTGGGGGCCCCAAAACTGAATGCAGTACTCCAGATGTGGTGCAGAATAGAGGGGAATAATCACTTCCCTTCACCTGCTGGCAACGCTCCTACTGATGCAGCTTAGTGTGCTGTTAGCCTTCTTGGCAACAAGGACACACTGTTGGCTAATGTTCAGCTTTTGTTCATGGTAACTCCCAGGTCCTTTTTTGCAGAGCTGCTGCTCAGTCAGTCAGCCCCCAGCCTTTAGTGGTGCATGGGATTGTTCCATCTTAAGTGGAGAACTGTGCACTTGTCCTTGTTGAACCTCATGACTGCACTCGGGGTCGGTGTTGAGCTGCTCCTGGGCCAGCTGCAGTGGGGCTCGGGGCGCAAAGCCCAGCCCACAAAGGCAGCCACCTCTGCCAAGCACAGATGGAGGGCATACGTGTCCACCCAAATGCCAGGCAGTGCAGGCAGCTACAGCAGCTGTGAAGGAGGGAGTGGGGCTGGGGCAGGGTACAGAATGGAGCCAAGAGCGGCTCGTGTGGGGATGTGAGGTGGGGGCATGCAGCCTGGAAGGGCACGGAGGGTGTGTGCCCCCGGACCTGTATGCAGAACAGGGTGTGCTGGGGCCAGAGCAGCTCTAGACTCTTCCCGACAGGGGTGTTGAGCTGGGCTGCACTCGGGTCAGGTGGCAGTGCTGGGAACAGGGCTATGGCACCTGAATATTCACTGTAGCCCTCCCAATCCCAGTGCTGCTGCTGCCTGCCCCGAGCACAGTGCTGCCCAAACCCCCAGCTGGAAAGAGCCTGGTGCAGACTTTCCTTCCCCCCCGAGGGCATGGGGGCTGTGTGCCCAGGATCTGGGCGGGGGGGGAGTTGCTGCTGTGTGCTGGGGCTGGGAAGCTACGCTGGGCTGTTCCCAGTGGGGGCTGGCCCATGCTACGCTTGGGGTGGGTGGTGGCGATGCTGGGAGGGGAGTTTAGGGGGGCTACGGTGAATTTTCAGGTGCCTGCAGCACTCTCCCCCCCAGTCCCGTTCTCAGCACCGCTGCTGCGTGGCCCAACACCCCCACCAAGAAGAGCCCAGCACCACCTCAGCCTGCTCCACCCTGTGAGCAGATCTGGGGTCACGCGCCTCTATGCCCTCCCGGGCTGCATGCCCCTCCCTCCCTGCACCCTCCAGACAAGCTGCTCATGACTCCATCCTGTGCCCCTTCCCGGTTCTGCAGGGCCTGCTCCTGGCCCACTCCTTCCCTCACCACTGTGGGGAGGGGGTACAGAGTGAGGCCCCAGTGGTGAGGGAGAGAGCAGGGCTAGGGTAGCCATCATAGAGGACAGTCTGGTTGTCCTCTGTCCTTTATTGATATGAAACCTGATGCCTGTATGTCCTCTGTTTTTTCTCTTCAAGAGAAAAATGGAGGACAAAGGCATTGGGGTTTGTATCTGTAGAGGACAGGGAGGAGAAAACCAGAATGAGCTGGCACCGGGGGCCAGATTTGGCCTTCAGGTCACGGTTGGGCATCCCTGAACTTGAAAAGTTGCTGAGGAGTTGCACAGTTTAGATCAAGTAAGATATTGTGTTATTCTACGGATATGCACAGTGCTGGCTTGACCTTGTTGAATCTTATCTCATTGATTGTGGGCCATTACTTCAGTCTATCCAGGTCATTCTGAGTCCTAGTCCTGCCCTCTAGAGTATCTACAGTTCCACCCAACTTGGTGTCATCTGCAAATTTGCTAAATGTGCACTCAATCCCATCTTCCAAATTGTTAATGAAGATATTAAACAATGCCAGACTCAGGACAGACCCATGGGGAACTCTACTTAATGCTGCCTGTCAACCAGACATTCAGCCACTGAGGACTACTCACCAAGTGCAGTGATCCAACCAGTACTTACTGAGTATGATGATCCAACCAGGGGATTGTTGTACGAGAGCTTTATGGTGGTAACCCTGAAGCTCTTGTAGTAAATGAGATGACAGCATTTCTTTAACTCTTCCCATCAGTAATTCATACTACTTGAGTAAAATGGTTCTCTTTGAGAAGCCTCTGACTTTGAAAATTTGCTTCAAAAGAGCATATGCCTTTTTTTCTAAACGGACATTACAAAGAACTGGCTACAGGAAGCATGTGGTATTTAGAAAGAGCCTTCGGATGATTCTTTATTAATCTTAGTTGGCTTTATTTAAAAAAAGCCTCATTGCTGTGCAGGGCTAGATCCAGGGGGAAATGCAGTGGTGTAGAAGCACCCCTCTTTCACTGCTGCTGCTGATCCAGATGAAGGGGAGTCTTGGAGCTAGTCCTACACCATTCTAGCTGCAGGCTGTAGCTGCATGGGATGCTGTGGGGACAGTGGTGGCAGCAGGCAGGTTTCTTCTTTCTGTATGTGCCATTCCCCAACTGTGATCCCTGCTGACTGGGAGCAGGAGCTGGAAGGAGAAACCACCCCTTGCCACTGCTGTTCCCTATTGATGCAAGTACAGGGGAAGCCCGGGAATCCCTCCTGCCTTGTGCTGCAGGGAGCAGCTGCATGGGGACCTGTGCTCAGCTTAGGGCAGTGGCAACAGTGCATAGGTTCCTCCTAATGCCTGCTTTTGGCCTGTGGGGGACATCAGGGAGGAGGGGGGGTAACTGTAGGGAGCAGGGGCTGGTGTGCCTCCTACTGTGTCTGGCTGAGCCTGGCACCCTGTGCAGCTGCTCCCTGTAGCTGCAATGGGGGGTGGAGGAAAGCGGGGCAAATGGGGACTCCTTGTGTGCCTGCATCAATGAGGGACAGCTGTGGTGTCTGGGGGGTGGGTTCTGCCTTCGCCTGCTTGCTCCCAGCCATCGGGGGGCACCTGGAAGCTAAGGGGTCAGGGAGAAGGTGCTGGAAGGGGGAACCTGTATGTCACCTCTGCTCCTATCTGAGCCTGGTTTCCTCTGCAGCTGCTCCCTGTAGCCCACAGTGGAGTGGGACAGGAGTGGCTTTGGGGTTCTCCATGAGTCCAAGTCAGTGGACTAGTGGCAGTGGTTCACTGGGGGTGCAGTAAGACCCTTTCAGGGGTTCTGTAGTGCAGGTGCAGCTGCCATGGCCAAGTAAGTGCTCCACACTTTGTGCACAGCCAGGCCAGGAATGGTTGTGGCACAAGTGCAGCACTTCTTACATTAGGGTTACCTGATGTACCTGAAGTAGGAAGGAGAGTCCAATTATGCTCCAACCCTTCCTGGTCTGGTCCCATGCTCCTCTTAGAAACAGGAGCACGAGAGAGTTCAGTTTGCCCAACGTGACTTTCCAGGAGATATCATGAATGGTCAGACCAGGAAAGGTTGCAGCAAGAGTGAGTGGGCTTTTCTGCCTGCTTCAGACTTATCAGATAACCCTAATGAAGAAGGAGCATCTGAACATGTTGCAGCACTTCTC